GGAATGCTCAGCCTGGGAGAAGGAGAGATGGCCCTCCTTTTGCTCTAGCGCTGGCCAGTTGGGACCCCACACCTGAAACACTGCAATGCCTGTCCCCTTCCTGAAGGATGGGGACAACCCAGGGTGCCTAGGACTCCCAGTAGTTGGACTTGGGAGCTGCGAGGACTAGCTTGGGGGTGGGTGGGTGTGGAGGTGGGGAACACTCTCTAGCCTTGCACTGTGCAACAAAGGGAAGGGGCCAGAGGGGCCAGGTGAGAGCAGGTGCCCCCTGCTCCCTTCTGTGCCCGTTCTGCCAGGCAGGGTGGGACAGTCCCCCGTTTCAGCACTGCCCCCTCCAGGTAGCATCCCTAAGGAAGGGAGGGGGACAGTCTGAGAGCCCTGTGGAGACAGGGAAGCTTGTGAGTCTTTACTGAGAAGAAGCTGAAACATATTGTCCTTGATGTGCAGGATGGTGGTGCAGCCTTACCTTCCCTAGCATTCTGCAGCATTCATTTCATCCCTTTCTCCCCTCAGAGCTCACGTCTCCCTCTGGTTTGGGGCTGCAGTTCCAGTTCAGCCGTACACAAGACCAGGACATTCACATCCTGCAGGCTCAACTTTGGCTCTACCTTCGAGTTCCCCGAGACCTGGTAGCCAGCCTCACCCTGAGAATCTTCCTTGCTGGTGGGGAAGGTGATTTGGTGGGGGGTAATCGCACATTGCTGAGTGAGAGGCGACTGAGTGCTAAGGGCAGTGGCTGGCGCGCCTTCACCCTCATGCCGGCCCTGCAGAGTTTCTTTGGGGGAGAGCGCAGGACCCTGCGGCTGGAACTGGAAAGCCTTGGGGATGGGGGTGATATAATGGCAACAGTCAATGCCAGCCGGTCCCATCAGCCCTTCTTGGTGGCCAAGGCGAAGGTGCGGGAGCCGGGACACCACGTGGCCAAGCGCAGCCTCCGCTGCAGCCAGAACTCCAACCTCTGCTGCCGCAAAGACTACTATGTGGATTTCCGTGACATTGGTTGGAATGACTGGATCATTAAGCCTGAGGGCTACCAAATAAACTACTGTGTGGGCCAGTGCCCTCTACATGTGGCAGGCAGCCCTGGGATGGCCTCTTCTTTCCACACAGCTGTATTCAACCTCGTCAAAGCTAACAACATCCAGGCATCGGGGCACTCTTGCTGTGTGCCCACACGACGCCGGCCGCTCTCTGTCCTCTACTTTGATCGCAATAGCAACATTGTCAAGACCGACATCCCTGACATGATTGTTGATGCCTGTGGCTGTAGCTAGGGTTGGGGGAGCCATGCTGGGTACCCTCCTCCTCCAGGACTGTCTTTCTGGTGGGGGCGGGGGCTGGAGAGCTCCTTTGAGCTGGAGTCAGACTGTGGTGTGATGGATCCCTTTAGAAAGGTTGGGAGGGAGGGAGGAAGAGGGCCTCATCAGAGGGAGCAGGGGATGTCTCCAGAGAGTACCTGGGGCAGGGGTCTTTGGGGACATGTAGGACATAGCCAAGGTCACATCAGGCTGCTTGAGTCTGAGCTGTGGGTAACAGCTGGTGATTCTGGGCATCCCTGTCCTCACTGGCAGCATTCTTCTGGTCCCAAGCTGGTCCTGCATTTCTGGTGGTCTTGTTCCCCTCTGCCTGTGGGGTGAGGGGTCCCTGCTTTGTTTGCATGCAGAGTGTCTGATGGCAGTTTGGGACTCGGCCTCGTTGAGAGCAGAGTGGGATGCGGGAATGGGTCTGTTTCCTCCAAGTGGGGAAACTGGAGGACGAGAGGCAGTCCTGCTTTTCTCCCCTACTGCTACAAATCTTCCTGTGTCAAATTTGCGCCTGTTGTTTGGGACAGGTGGAATGAGGCGCAAATAACAGGCCTGGAAGATGTGGATGAAGGGCATGACTTTGTCAAGAACCCTAAAACCGCAATGACGAGACACAGTCCTCTGCTCCCAGGAGGGTGTGGAGCTGTGAGGGATGGCCTTGTGTTCTGGCCAGGTCCTGTGTATTTCCCTTTTCATTTCCCAGGGTTTTGTGCTTTTCTTCCCTTCTGCCCACCCCACCAGTCAGGTCTCTTCCAGCCCAGTGCCTCCTTCCAAGGAGGTCTGACTCAAACTTTGCCTTTAAGACCAAAGGTACAGATTTCTTTTTGTACCTCTAGTTTTGCAGCTATTACTACTTTTACAGTAGAGGTTTCTGTAGCTGTTGGGACTCCCTGGTGCTCCATCCTGTCTACCAACCTCTCTACTGAAGATCCTACTTTGCCTTTGCCTTCCTGATACTCATGTATGCAATGCACCCACACGGCCTGGGCTTTTAATTTATTTTAATACTTTGGCGCGGCTTCCCCAATAAATGGGTGGAAATGCAACATTCAGGCTCTGACTGCTTTCTCCTGGAACCACTTGCATGAATGGGATGGGGGAATTGCTCCTGCTTGGCCAGAAGGTCCTACTCCTGGCCCGTACCCCTCAGGCTCTGGCTGGGAAGGTGCTGGCTGGTTTCTGGGGCTGGAGCAGTACAGGAGCTGCAAACCATCAGCAGCTGTGGGCAGCATTGCTGTCCTGGGAGGTGAGGGGAGCTGTTGGTGCTTCTGGAGCTCCTGGGTGCCATGGGGTGTTGCACACTGAGACCCTGTGTGAGCAGGGCTATGCAGGGGGCTCTTCCTTGTGGATGGGGGATCCAGGGATAGGGCAGGGGCTGGGAACTGGTACCACCTCACTGGGGGCTGGAGAGGGGTGGCCTGGAATGTGAGCATCAAGAAGCTGTTTCCCAGTAAGGCAGGGTCCTGCTGGGGGACACAGCCCAACCTGAAGATGCTGTTCTCTACCTGGATCAGTCCTGAACAGAGCTCAAAATACCACAGCTCTGGAGACTTTGGCACCAGGGGGTTGACCTCAAACAACAAGCCACCGCTCGCCCACAAATCCTGTGCCCCCACTGCAAACACCAGAGATTGTACCCTAATCATGTATCACTGAGCTACCCGATCTCCTCTCATGTGCTCTCCTAAACACCACCCAATGACCTCAGTATCAACCCCATAGCAGCCAGTCATAGAGTCTGGCAATGCCCAAGCTGGTGGATGATGGGGAGTCTCCTGTGTAATTTAGGGTGGGATGCTTCTGGAGGGGGAGACAATGCCACTTGATCATCTCTCTGGGATCCCACATGACTGGCCTGGGTCCTTGTTGTGCAAGCACCTGCTCAAAGCTCAGTTTGGGGCTGTTTTATCTGGGGACAAACCCACTCGCTTTCCCAGCTTGGCCCTGTGCTGCACCCTGTGTGTGGACAAAGGGCATCTTTCATCAGCCAGCTACAGCGGGCATCCCCCCAGGCTGCAGGGGCAGCATGACCATTGCCAACGCTCCCCAAAATATCTCCATCTACGGGGAAGAGCTGACTGCAGCTGCGGGATACCTCAACCTTCCGGGCACTCCCACAGCTGCAGCACGTGTGTTGCTGACACAACAGGGCACTGCTGTCTGTGCTCCCAGGAGCATGTGCTGCCACACACGTGCCGAGAGTTAGAGGTGTGGATTTCAGGTAAATGCGCAGGCATGTGCACAAAGTCTTTATCGTCTCCCTTCTCCTTCCCCGTATTGGCACTCTTGCTCCAGCCAGTGCAACTGGGGGTGGGGTGGGCAGGGAGGCATCCCACCAAGACGCCAGACAGCGTGTTTTCTTTTGTCAGCAACACCGCATCTTCCCTGTTGCAGCGAATGTGTGTTTCCGTGTGGGTGGGGGGTTGTCCACATGCATGTGCGTGATGTGCTGACTCACTGGCACACTGACACGGTGACCCACCAGCCCAGAGGCAAGATGCTGAGCTGGCTGTGGTGGTACCATTAAGTCTTTAATCTGGGTGATCATCTGGCCCTGCTCTGAGCCGCTTTAACTTTCCTAAACAGGAGGCCAAGATTAACTGTGCAGTGGGGGACATGGCAGGGTTGAGAGCCGCTGAAAGGGGGAGCTGCCTAAGCGTTTTTTTTCCACCCAGGTGGCTCAGAGCTGGTGGCCAAAGGGACCTGGGCCTGTCCAGCCATGCAGTGGCCCCTTGGGAAGAGGTGGGTGGTCTTGGGGCAGGTCCTGGCAGGGCTGTGGGGGTGTGGGCGGCGGGGCTGGCCCCCCCCGGTGCCCAGTGCCCGGGCGGGCCTTTCCCAGCAGCTTATCCAGGGTCACACTCAGCTCAGGAGAAAATCTGCTGAGCTGCTTATGCATATTACAAAACGGGCATGCAGGCAACCCCTCTCACCTGCACCCGCCACCTTGGTCCCACCGCTGCGCTGATGCTGTGGGACCAGATCCACTGCAGCAGTCTGGGGGCACCCCGGGACACAGCTAGCTGTTCTCCCCTCATGCCAGGGGAAGGGGGGAACTGTGCAGGCATTGCCACTTCCCCCATGTGCCGGGGCCTCCCCAGGGAGCAGAGACACCCCTCCTCGCCCCCTGCTGTGTTGGGGGTGGCTGGCAGGGAAAGGAACTGATCCCAAGCTAGGACAGTGGGGAGGGAAACTGAGGCAGGGAGCAGTCTTTTGCAGGCCATGGCTGGGAGCTGAGGTGTCTCCTGAAATCCCAAAAACGACAGTCAGTGTTGTCCCTATGCTCTGGGGGTCCCACGCAGTCAGTGGGGAGGGCATTTCCCACAGCCGTGGCATGGGTCATGCTGTAAAGCTGCTGCTGTGGTGCACTGGACGCCTGCTGTGCGTGATGATACACAGGGGCACTGGGAGGACAGGCTAATGCCAAGGAAGTCAGAGTGCCCACAGCAGGGGTAATCCTACTAAGAGGCTCTGAGGTCAGGCTGGGCGTGTGGCACAGCTCCCATCACCTTTGAGGCTCACGCTGGGCTCGGGCAGCATCGTCCCAGAGAGCAGGATGGAGCTGGGAGGAGCTGAGTGCTGGGGCATGGTGAGAATGTGCATACCCCCACGAAAAGTGTGTCTGGGCTCACCGGGGGAGCTGAGCATGCACAAGGTGGGGCATGTGCTCTCTCCAAGCAGGCTCTCCTCCCACAGCAGCCCCCGGGTATAACCCTTTGCCAAGCCCTGCTCCTGGTCCAGCCCCGCTCCAGCCCCGGTGGTCCTGCTACCCTGTCTGCTCTGGGCTGCAAAGCTCCACGAGGCCGCCAGCACAGGCCCGGAGCTCCCATGTGGGCTGTCCAAGCGGGGGGTTTGTAGCTTCGGAGTCCGTGTCGCAGCAGTCAGGGAGCGAGGCCTAGGGAGAATGGAGCAGGGGCAGAGCTGAAGGCAGGAGCAGGGTCCCCCGGCCTGAGTAGGTCTTGGGGAGGTCATCCTGCCTCCCCATTGTGCCCTGCCGGCATGGACACGTGCTGTCACGTTCTGGCTAGGGATAGGTGGGCAAAGGCCACTTTCCCTGAAAGAGCTGCTTGCACCCAGGGCCAGCCTGGCTCTTCCCCTACATTTAGTCACTGTGGCATAGGGGGGAACTGACCTTCACTGTAAAAACAAACAAGAAAACGCAGCGCTGCTGGGTGAGAAATTAATTTCCTTCTACCTCCTGCCTCCCCTCCCGAGTCCCTGGAGCTCCCAGGCTTCGTGTCCCGCTCTCCCTCAGACACCCACGTTCCCTCCTGCCTCCCTTGGTGCGGGTACCACCATTGCCCTGCTCTCCCTTCAAGGGGACAGGACCTGGCTACCAGCAGACCCCGTGAGCTGGACAAGGCAGGGCTGTTTCAGGGAATGGGGGCTTGGCTGTGCAGACTGTTTGGGGCATAGGACCCTTTTGGGGAAGGCACCAGAACACTCTGCAATTTGCTTCCTGAGCCGCAGCTCCAGCTCTCTGCTTGCCTCCTGTGCATTGACACAAACGCTACCTGGAACTTGGGTTTGCCCCCACAGGGATATAGAGCTGTGGTGGCAGCAGAGGGGCACCAGGCTGTGTGCAAATGACAGTCACTCTCAGGCCCTTGAGATGGTCTCAGGTCCTGCAGTGTGTGTTATCCTCACACCCTCCTCCACCACCGGTAGCCCTGGAACAGGTGATGCAGCGGAGAAACATCGAAGCAGTGAGTAGGGGGCTGAACTGCAGGCACCGGTGTCACGCTGGGACATGGCTGGGAGAACTGCCAGGACAGCAGTCAGGCTACGGTCCATGAGGCAAGCAGCCAGGGGAGCTTTTGGAGTGGGAGAAGGCTTTCTGAGCCACAGACATTGTGGCTGAACAAGGAGGCACCTGGGGGACCGATCAGGGCAGCCCCGGAAGGATCGCTGGGCATCTCAGCAGCTTGCAGGAAGGGTTTTCCAAGAGGATTTCCAGGTAGAAATGGGAGGGG